GTCATAGAAATGCTATTGCGGATTTTATCTATTGCTATTGGATCAAACAGGAACTCAAAAATGATATTTGCAGTAGTTTACATTCATAACTACAGAAGTTTGCCCAACTATGACGACTTCCGCTTCTTGAAATGTAAAAAAGGTCCATTAACATATTAATTCATGACATTTAATTAATTTGTGATTGTGTTTAATGCGTCAAATGACTCTTACATAACTGATATTGACATCATCATCACACTGCAAGTGCAAACTATCGACTTTTTCTTCAGAGAAACACTATCATTGATCATTATTTGTTCATTTCTATCTGACCCGTGAGATGATTAGAGATGTTCTCGTCATCGCAGCGGTTTACCTCGATCTCGCGCAGGAGCTCGGACTGGCCGCAGGTCTCCAGGTCTTCCAGGGCCTGGCACCAGAAACTGTCCTCCTGCTCCATCATGAGGCCGTCGGCATGAGGCTGGCTGCTGTATCTGCGGCAGACGCACACATTACAGCTAATGAGGTTGTTGCTGTTGGTTGCTGGTGTTTTGAAAGACTGTTAGGCTGTACAAAGCTATACATACAGACAGATCATTTGAGCGTAAAACTGTAAAAGCTGTAAGCCCACAGTCATTTAAATATAACAATCGGTGTTGATTTAGTATTACTATTATATTATTTATTGAAATTCTGAATTGTTTTTTAGCATAATTAACAGTATATATACACTACCAGTCAAAAGTTTTTGAACAGTAAGATTTTTAATGTTTTTTAAAGAAGTCTCTTTTGCTCTGAAATAAACAAAGCAAAGCGAAACAAAAGCAAAGCAAAACTACAAAACAAAATCTTCAAAGCAACTCTCCGGATATATCAGTTTTACTTGGAAATAAACCATGGTTATGCTGATGCGACAGATCTGTGCATATCATAATTTACGGGTTTTGCATGAACTTCATGAAGTATCTACAGAGAAAAATAAAATTCTTAGCATGAAAGCAAAATTTCATGCTAAACCACATAAAAAGCACCTACAGTATTAACCAAAGAGGAGTGAAAGATGAATCTCCCTGCCCTTTCCCAGGGACATTTTCAGAGAAGATAAATACTCCCAGTGGTTACTAATGCCAACCATGCTGACCAACACTTGAATCCACATACTGTTCAACTGTGTGTTCAACTTATGCTGTGAGTTCGCCTACCTTGTGCAGCTCTAACGGTGTGGGCGACAGGATGTCCTGGATCTCTTCTTTGATCCTCCGCGACTCCCAGGTCTTCTCGGACATACGGAGCGTGCTCTTGTTCTTGGTTTCGTTGAGGAGATGTGGGGCTTTTCTCAGAGGGCTGAGGTGAGGTTGGTTGACCGTCTCACCATGGGCCTTTCCACCCTCTACACCCAAACTCAGGGCACTGCCGGTCATTATCGACGCCTACAGGTGGAAAACAACCACAAACATTGATTCCTGCCTTCTCACAAGCCAATGTTCCCCAGTGCGTTGAACTCTGTCATGGAAAGGGCCTTTAGGCCACATTGTTTTAATAGGGAGCCTCTGATTGGGCTCCCATTAAGCAATTGTCTCATTTAATAAAACCCTATTAACCAGAAGACGTGAAGCCCATCCTCATTTACCTTTAATGAGCTCCAGATCCATTTATTTCCAATGAGCTGTGACTGAAATGTGTGTTAATTGTGAGTTCCGACATTTGTGACTCTTTGAAGCTGTAATTCAATGGGTTTTACTAACTCAATCCAATACACATAGGATCAGCGTGGATCTACGCTTATGAAATTACTTTCAAAACGCAGTTAGTGTACAAGAAATTGCAGATTACTTGGAAAGCTGCAGCCCATTACGCCTCATGACATAATTTGAGATTTGTGCTGGCTTGCACTTACAGTAATACGTGATTTTGGGAACGTAACTACAACAGATACTTCTGTAAAGTCCCTCAGAAACCACAGAGCAGCAATCTGTTTCCTGATTTGCCCGTGTTTGTTTTACTTTTAGTTATTAAACTTTATACTCCCTTTGGATCTGCCTTATCTCGCCTTTGTCCTCCCAGCATTGCAACACCTCTGTTTTTGAATGAAAAAGCATTTTTTTGTGGCAAATATATTTAAACTAGTTAGCTAAACTTTGGTTAGTTGCTAGGGTAACATTTTATTTAGTCTAAGTGCTAAAATACACTAAAACGGAAATAAATGGAAAACTAAAAAAACTTCAAAGCAAACAAAATATTACAAATGACAAAAACTACTGCACGTTTAATCAAATTTAAAATAAAAATGAAAAATATATTTTAAAAAGTTCACCTTCACTGAAAAAAAGAGGTGTAGAAACTACTTTCATTTAGAAATTGATTGCAAATTTCACAATTACAAAGAAATGGCAAGTAACACATGGAATTGAACTGTACATTTTTAAGTAGAAATACTAAAATAGTGTTTTTCTTGTAAAATGTACTCCAATCATCTTTTAACATAGTGTTCATGTCGTCCCAAGCCTGTATGACTCGCTTTATTCTGTACAGCACAAAAAGAGACATTGTGAAGAATGTCCTGGCTGCTCTTTTCCATAAAAAAATGACATACCAATCAAATACCAAATATTTCAAATAGAATTTATATGAATATGAATTTATAGATCTAAATGTACAAACACTTTAAAATAAAAAAAAAAATTACAATTATTTTTATATAAAAATAATAGTTTAGTTTAAGTTTTAGTAACTTTTTATGTGAATTGCAATTTTTCATCATTGTTAATTGTTTTTGAAATATTTCTAGTTAGCTTTAGTTTTTCAGAATTTTAGTACTTCAATGAAATGATGACTTCAACGAAAATATGAAATTTTTCCTTGGCAACTAACTCAGATAAGTGTAAGTGTAAGTTTTTCACCTAATATTGATATTGTATTTCATTTCAGCATTATTTTATAATTGTAAATTTCCATTTAGAAGAGACAAAACATCTCCTTTTGTGTTCCACGGAAAACAGAAAGTCAAGTATCGATGAAGAAACATGTCATCCATGGCTGACCTCGCTAGCCAGTGTCATCAAACATCTGATAAAAACACTTCCCCATGCTTTCCTAACTCTCCTAGGTTGGTTGTGTAAGAACAGAGCTCACTGTTTTGAGCAAGCAGGCGTGAAATGAGCCATCAGTCAGTATGCAGAGACTTTGTGTGATTTTGTGGTAGCAGGAGTGTAGTGATTGGTGATTTGGGATTTCCAACTTAAAAAAGGGAATTCACAAGAATGACCTGCGAATGCTGGTGGCGGTGTGTATTTGCATTCGCTGTCTGTGATGTTTTAGCACTCGACTCACTACAGGAATTATGTAAATAAGGTAAGGGTACAAACACAGGCCAGAAAATGTGCTGTACTTTCACGGAACAATTCCTCATCTTGCAGGCCAGATTTGAGTGCTTGGTTGTGGAGGACGCGGCAGACTACCACAATCTGACATTATTTACTGGGACTGTACAGCATTGCTCAACCTCTGAACTCCAAAGAGGTTTTGAGTCATTCTATGAAGCATGTGCCTTTTATTTATTATCATTATTATTTTATTTAACACACTTAAAGACAAAGAATACATAATCTCAAGTTTAATTATAAAAAAAACCCCAATGTTTTCAAATCTGTCCTCCTACCTTTAAGCATGACTTTTCTATAAAAAGTAGAAAAATACTGTCATTTTTTTCTATTGTTTGTGACTGATCGCTCACCAAGCCTGCATATATTTGATCCAAAATACAGCGAAAGCAGTAATATTGTGAAATAATTTTACTATTTAAAATAACTGCTTTCTATTTGAATATATATACACACATACATACATAGTGATGCAACACTGCAACACACAGAAATGTAACACTGGGCCATTTTTTTCTCAATAAATAAATGACAAAGAAAATATTTTTGTCTCATTTGCTTGATTGGGTTCTCTTTGTCTACTTTCAGGACTTCTGCAAAAATCTGATGATGAATTGGGTCATATTTATGCAGAAAAATAGAAACTTGTAAAGGGTTCACAAACTTTCAAGCAGCACTGTGTGTATACATATATATATATAAGAGTTCAGATGCAAAAGCATCTAAGTGCCATTTGAAATTTTCTTCTAAAATGAGAAGTTTTATCATGCTTTTGTGTATGTTCAGTAATTTCATGTTAATGGCAATAAATAGGTTATTTTCATTGCCATTAAAGTGAAATAACTGAACGTAAACATAAGAGCCTGAGCAAAATACAAATTTTAGAAGAAAATTTCAAATGGCACTTATAGGCTTTTGCATCTGAACTCTTCATATATATATATATATATATATTCATGTAGATATATTTTCTTGCCTCCTATCACCAAGCAAACAACATGACTTTTCTATAAAAAAATGTAAAAAATACTTTTTTTTTTTCTTGTATGTGACAGAGATGTGCTACATAGATATGTTATGAATGACAAATCTAGTGAAGAATGAAAAAAATATAAATGTTAAATTAAAGAATGGAAGAGGAATTAAGAAAACTAAATACACCGATAATTGATTCTGCTTTTAATAAAATACTTATAAGATTGATTTAGTGTGAATGGGGAAAAAAAGAAGCATTTTTTAAACACCAAATATTTAGTTCATTTCTTTATATGACTAGAATATACAGACGTGTAAAAATATATTTACTCTAAAATATTTAAGTTCTAGCAATTTGCATGTGTAGTTTTTATTCATTTTTCATAATTTCTTAAATATTTCAATTAGCTTTCAAAGGTTTGGCCATTTTAGTACAGCACTTTGACTTTGACATTTTTTCTTGACCAAAAAAACAAAACAAAAAAAAAACGAATAAAATAAATGTAAGTTTCATTAACTTTAAGTTTCTCATCGAATATTTCAATATTTTTTTCAGCTTCATTTCAATCACCAAAAATGATTTTTAATAGTAGTAATTTACAATAAGAACACTGAAAACAATGCAGCATTGCACACGCTTGTGTACAGCGTCCCGTCTCACCCGGCAGCTTTGTCCCAGTCGTCCTCACTGAATCCCGTGTCACTGAAGGGGTAGTTCTTGCGGCGGGACGGAGGAGGCGTGCTGTTCCTCTGCTTGCTGTTACGCCACTCGTGAGGGTGTAGCGCAATCCCAGCGGCCTGATGCGTGTAGCCACCTTCGGAGGAGCATCAGGTCACATGTTTGACTGAGAGGCTGTCAGTAGATGTAACGAATATCGGCCCGGCGTGAGGAGAGTGCACTCACCTTGGCTGCTGTAACCGCCGTCGATTCCCGAGCCGTCCCACGACTCCATGGCCGAATCCACGCTGGGGATGGTGGTGGAATAAATGTCCGACAGTTTGTTGGTCTTCTGCGAGTCGGTCGTGTCGTCCTCGTTATCGCTGAGCTCGTTATCCAGATCGTTCTCTTTATTTTGATCATCTGGTGCTGAAGGGGGAATGACAGTTATCGGATTTTTTTTTAAGGTGTCCTTGTTACACGTTACATGTACTTACTATTATAGTAACAATTAGTTATGCATAATTACATGCAAGTAACCCTAACCATAGAGTAAGTACATGTAGTTAATTAGTATTACTCAGTACTTAAATGTATGTTACACAATGTTACACTATACTTAAAAGTAAATGTAAACTGTAACAATGACACCTTAAAATAAAGTGTAACCCAGATTTGCATGCATAAAAAAAACACAGGTGTTTTGTGTAAAATGGTGAACGTCTTGATTTCATTGTTAATACAGATAATTTCGGCAATAAGTCAGTATTTAGGTGGCAAGTCAATGTTTTTTTATTTGTTTGATTAAATAAAACTTCTTATGATTATGATGATTAATTAAATACTTTGATAATTGGATGATCGAAAGCTACTCTATTAGTGAAAGCGTTTTGCCCCAATCCATATAATTGCTTATAATTAATTATATTATTCATTATAATTAAATATAATTAATATAAATGTATAGAAAATAAATAATAATAATAATAATATATAATAAAATAATAATGTAAATTATCTAAATTATATGTAATTATATTTATTACAATTTATAGGGTGAAATTGTTCACTAATAGAATAGCTTATCAAATTTTCATAGTCAGAAGATGCCAAAATGGGGGTGAAATGCATATTATGATATATTATATAATTATTTATTTA